GCTCCCCCCTCCTCTCAGGCAGTTGTAGGCAGCGATGAGGGCTCCCTTCAGCCTCCTCTGCTCCAGGCTGAACCCCCCCAGCTCCCCCAGCCGCTCCCCAGCAGCCTGGGGCTCCAGACCCCTCACCACTTTTCTATATGTAAAGCAAAGAACAGGGTATTGATTAAATGATAAAAATATTTTCACTCTTAAGCAAAACTGATGACTTCACGCTCCTTCAGTTGCAGGAGAAATTTCATCTGGAGGGTTTCATAGCATCATCACAGAATGGTTTGGGTGGGAAGGGACTTTTCAAGGTCACCTGGTCCAACCCCCTGCCATGAGCAGGGACATCTTCAGCCAGATCAGGTTGCTCACAGGCCTGTCCAATCTGACCTTGAATGTTCCCAGGGATGGGGCCTCTACCACCTCTCTGGGCAACCTGTGCCAGTGCTGCACAACCCTCATGCTAAAAAATTTCTTCCTTAAATCTGTTCTGAATCTCCCCTCTTTCACTTTAAAACCATTCCCCTTTGTCCTATCGCAACAGGCCCTGTTAAAACATCTCTCTCTGTTTTTCTTATCAGCCCTCTTTAAGCCCTGAACGGCTGCAATCAGGTCTCCCTGCAGCCTTCTCTTCTCCGGGCTGAACACCCCCAATTCTCCCAGGCTGTCCTGACAGGAGAGGGGCTCCAGCCCTCGGAGCATTTCTGTGGCCTCCTCTGGCCCCCCTAACAGGCTTCCAAGGACACCCCGTACATTGGGAGAGGGGTGACTGGAGAGCAGCCCGGCAGGAAGGGATGGGGGGTGCTGGTTGGCAGCAGGCTCAGCAGGGGTTGGGCACCAAGGGGCGCATCAAGCACAGCAAAGGCAGCTGGTCAAGGCAGGTGATTACCCGGCCATATTCAGCATCGGTGCAGCCGCCCCTGGAGCACTGTGTGCACTGCTGGGCCCCGGCATTTGGGAAGGACGTGAAGGTCCTCAAATGCGTCCAGCGGAGGGCACCCAAGCTGGTGACGGGCTGGAAGGTGGCTGAGGGCTCCGAGTTGGTCTCCTTTGGAGAGGAGGAGGCTGAGGGGCGACCCGGGCGCTCTCTGCAGCTCCCAGGGGAGGGGACGTGGAGAGGGAGGTGCTGAGCTCTGTTCCCCGGGATCCAGGAGCCCTGGGAACGGCTCACAGCTGCCCCAGGGGAAGCTCAGGCTGGGCACGGGGAAGCGTTTCTTTACCAAGAGGGTGGTCAGGCCCTGGGACGGGCTTCCTGGGGAGGGGGTCTGTGCCCCAAGCCTCCTGTGGTCCAGAGGCATCTGGACAGCACCCCTGGTCACCGGCTCTAGCTTGGTCAGCCCTGAAGTGGTCAGGCAGTTCGACTGGTGATCATTCCAACTGCAACCGCCTGTTCTATTCTATTCTATTCTACTCCATTCCATTCCATTCCATTCTTCTATTCCATTCCATTCCATTCCATTCCATTCTATTCCATTCCATTCTTCCATTCCACTCCACTCCACTCCACTCATCCTGCCCTGCCCTGCCC